CCAATTAAGATAACTCAGATTCTATAACTTTAATTCCAATTAAGATAACTCAGATTCTATAACTTTAATTCCAATTAAGATAACTCAGATTCTATAACTTTAATTCCAATTAAGATAACTCAGATTCTATAACTTTAATTCCAATTAAGATAACTCAGATTCTATAACTTTAATTCCAATTAAGATAACTCAGATTCTATAACTTTAATTCCAATTAAGATAACTCAGATTCTATAACTTTAATTCCAATTAAGATAACTCAGATTCTATAACTTTAATTCCAATTAAGATAACTCAGATTCTATAACTTTAATTCCAATTAAGATAACTCAGATTCTATAACTTTAATTCCAATTAAGATAACTCAGATTCTATAACTTTAATTCCAATTAAGATAACTCAGATTCTATAACTTTAATTCCAATTAAGATAACTCAGATTCTATAACTTTAATTCTAATTAAGATAACTCAGATTCTATAACTTTAATTCTAATTAAGATAACTCATATTCTTAAATTCTAATTAAGATAACTCATATTCTTAAATTCTAATTAAGATAATTTAACGATCTCTTTTAAAATATTTAAACTAATAACAACAATAAATTTTAATATTTATATTTATAAATATTTACAATAAAATTTAATACATTTAAATTTTGTATAAACATTTATTTAATTAATCAAAACAATTTCAATTTTTTATGATTTAAATCCACTCACAATTAAAATTAGGTAAATGTAATATTTATATTTATTAAAAATCAATTAATTATGTAAATATATTTAAATAATTTTAATTAAACAAATATTTATACAAAATCTGATATGTAAAATCTCATTGAAATTATTTATAAATATTAAATTTTTAATTGTAATTAGTTTAAATTTTCGTAATAAAGTCCTTATAAATTTTCTTACTTTAAGATTTCTTGCAAGAAAATTACAACTAAATTATAATTAAAAAGTTAATATTTATATATATTTTAAACATTTAACATCTTTGTATTAAAAAATTATTTAATAATAGTACAGTCGAAACTCCATTTAACGACCAACTGTAAATGGCAGCCATTTTTTATAGGAAGTTTCTTTTTTGCACACAAAGTAACCTCTGAACAACGGCCAAATTTTGACATTCCCGTCAGTGGCCGTTGTTAACAGGTTTAATTTAAAGACAGTCTAAAAATGCAGTAAAACCTGTTCAAAACGGAACCCGAGTACAACGGAAACCTGCCTAAACGGAAAAAGATCTTTAGATCAAAGTGATTTTCTATGTTAACAAAGAAAAAACCTGCGCAAAACGGAAATATGCAGCCGGATAAAATATTCAATGTCGCGTGATTCCGTTTCACACAGGTTTTAATGTATAAATAAATTGAAATTATTAAAATTATATAATTATTTACATAATTTATTTATACAGTAAAACCTGAGTAAAACGGAAAACCTCACGGCACTGAATATTTTTTTCCGGCTTGGCGGGTTTCCGTTTCTCACAGGTTTTTTTATTAATTAACATATAAAACCAAGACTTTTTCCGTTTAGGCAGGTTTCCGTTGTACTCAGGTTTCGTTTTAAACAGGTTTTACTGTATTTTTACACTATTTCGTGATAAAACTCAGAATTAAGTAAAAATTTTTGCAAGATTGAAAACAATTACAATTACAATTTTTTTTTATAATAACAAACTGCTTAAAATCTTAAATAATAATAATAATAATAATTTAAAATAGAAAAAAATGAATAAAATAATAACAATTCAGGAAAATAATTGCAAGTACAGTAGTTAAATCACATAGAAATTATTTCTGAAATGCCCATTCATTTCTATACAAATTCTTGAAAAAACTTCTTATAAAATAAAGAAAAAAAAAGTAAGAAATTGAAGTCATAACTTCAGTCGCTTAATCTTATTGAAAATTCAACGATTTGAATTTTAAAATTTCCTTTCAGAAAAATTTAAAATTCAAATTAGCCCTGTTAAAGTTGTTTCTCTCCAAATATTACTTCATATCGGATCATTTTGTAAGTTCATAAATTAAATTTTTTTATGTATCGACGAACAGACACACATACGGACCACTCGGAATTATTTACTAAATTATAATCCCGTGACTTAAATGCTCTGACGTTCCTATAAAGTATCTAGAGTAAAAAAGAAAAGGTGGAAACTCAAACATCAGCCAAAAAATAATAATTTTCACTCCTTTTTTTTATAAGGAACATTAATTATGAAAAATTCCATGTCTAAATTTGATTTTAGAAAATATATTTTTTGGGGAAAAAAAAGAATTAATTTTTTAAATGAAAATTTTTAAATTTAGAAAGTTGACTACAAATTTAATTAATTTTAAATTAATTAAATTTAAGTCATCCTCTACTCCTCTCTCTCTCTCTTTCTCTCAACTTTGTATTGTCAGATTGATAAATTATTTTAATTATAAGAATGGATTTTATATATAAATATATACATTTAAAAAAAATTATTTATTTTTAAATAAAATAAAGTAAAATTTAATAAAAGTATAATTTTGTTTTGTTAATTTGCACCTAAATCCGGAGATTTGTATTGAAGAAGTGTGGGTTCTAATTATAAATAAAGTCGAACTTCTGAACAACGACCACTAATGGGAAAATTAAAAAAATGGCCGTTGTTCAAAGGTTATTTTGTATGCATTTAAGAAAGAAACTTCCTATAAAAAAAAATGGCCGTTGTTCAGAGGTAGCCATTATCGAAGGTATACTTTGAGAATTTTTTAGTAAATTTATTTATATTTTTAAGTAAAATATAAAGGATTACAGCCTTAATGTATTAATTCACTTCAGCATTTCGGTCTACAAAGCTGAATCATTCATTTTAATTATAAAAAATGTATATTTTGCAGGTATTGTTTGAGAATTTATTAGTGAATTTATTAAATTTTTAAATAAAAATAATAAAATTTTAATTATAAGACTAAAATAAAAGAGTTTTAATTTAATAATTTACCCTGTAAATCCGGACGTTTACGCGGATAAGACCTGGATTAAAGGACAACCTGCAACATCCACAAAATAGTAGGCCCTTGAAAAAGGGGGGGGGGGAAAACATATTTTCATTTTATTTTTAAAATTCAGTACGAAGGGAGGAAGTGGAGAAAAAGGTATATTTTAAATCTCGTGTACGGGGGCATTTTTACTCTTAATTTTACATTAATTTTAATTATAAAAAAATGTAATTTACACAATTTTTTAGTAAAATTTATTATTTTGTAAGTAAAAAAAGTAAAATTTTAATTAAAAACCAGGGAAAAAAACCAAAATGGATTCAATAATTGCCACCAAAATCTAGAGATGCGCATTGATAAATCATTGATTCTAATTATAGAAATAAAAAAAATTAACAATAGTTAATGCATAAAATAAATTATTAATAGAAAATATTTTAAATAAATGAGTTAATTTACTAGTTTTTCTAATTAAAAAAAATTAATTTCATAACGAAAATTAAATCATTTTGTAATTAAAAAAAGGCACTTAAAATTCAAACCACGACTTATAAATTAATAAAATAATTTTAATTAAAATATTTTTAACGTTTAAATTATTAAAATTTAAGCTTTAAAAGATTTGAAGTTTTCTTTTATTTTCATTTTTAATATTTTTTTAAAATTAAATAAGTGCTCTGCGCTCGCTAATCTAATCAGTTTTAAAGGATAATGAATAAGTAATAAAGTTTAACCATGGAGTGCTTCGGTCTTCAGCTTAAATTTTAAGTATTCAGCAAGAAAAAATCAGGGAGAAAATTCTAGAAATTTCTTTTTTCAACTTCTAGTGCATTTTCGATATTCAATTCGTTCCACATAAAACTTACACCTGAAGCCCGCAAGCAGTTATGAGGCCATATAATAACTTTAGCTACTGGCAGAAACTACTGTATTTATTCTGCACTCCATCATGCACGTGTGCCAAAAAATATATTTCCTCTACGTCGCATAAATGAACAACAAAACAAGAAATAAAGTGATTTTAGAGCGGATAATAAAACTAACCAATAAAAACCCATTACAGATAATTATTTTAAAATCGTGACGATTTCTTGCAACTGTGGTAGCAGTGCTGCCACATCTAAGTGATGCTTTAAATAAAATTCTCGTGAGATAGTTCTTTCCACCCTACGAGTAATGAGAAGGTCCTTTCTCGGCCGTCACGTGTTTGGTCAGAGCCCACAACGAAAGGTGAGAAATGGGCTTTCGTGTATCCGGATCAAATCACCTACAAGAATTTCTGGTCGGTTTGATGGAATAAGGCGACGCAAAATGCGGGATCTGTCGAGAAGATGGCGCTTTCTATGGGAAATTCACCCCTGTATACACATTACACGCTTGAGGAATCCGGGAAAATTCCATGGGGCCAATTCTTTAATGGCATCCAAAGAGCACCACTAAAGGGCTTTTAGTGGCGCTCTTTAAATGGGCATGGTCGCTCCACTAAAGGGGTACTAAAGATGTATTAGTGGGCTAAGTGTTTGTTTGTTTAGTTATGGCAACGCAACACTCGGGCGATTTGCCTACGGGATGCCTTCCGGGAGATTTTTTAAGGAAAACTGGCCTCTATTTAGGCGTTACAGACGTGGAGAAAACCCGGAAAACACGTGGCCAACCCACCCGAGCGAGGCGCGAAACCACGACCGAACTCCTACGAAAACCGCTTGACCACTGGTGGGCGGGACTTAGTGGCACTTAAAGGGCACTAAATGACTCTTGGTGGTGTTTAATGGCATTTAAAGGCACTAAAGGGCTCTTAGTGAGGCTTAGTGACACTTAAAGGGGAGCAACCGAGACTTAAATGGGCACAGGAAAAGGATCAAGCGCTGGTAAAGTGGAAAAAGTCGAAAATGGAAAACAAAAATCTTTTCCAACTTGTTGCATGAATCGAGTTTATATTTATATGTTTTTTGAATGATTTATTCTTTCATAACTGATAAATAAATTTTTAATTTTTCGTTTTTCTTGTAGTCCCGTTCGAGGAATTCTGCTGTCTGGCCGTTGTTTTAGAATTTAATGAATTCCCCTCTGTAAGTCGGCAGAAAAGACATACCGAAGATGGAGGATGCCAAATTCAAAATGTAAAATAACTTAATTAAGAGGCACAAACTGAATTCAACTTAATTAAATATGAAATCTAAGTAGTTTTCGTGCGTTTTAGTGTAATTATTTTTATTATTTAGACAAGGAAAATATAATTAACGTCATAAAATTTTTAGTTTTATAAATTATTAAATAAAACTTGAAATAAATTAATATTTTAAATTATAAAATTAAATTATATATTTTGCCTTCGTAAAATTTTATGCGATAAGTTTTGAATATCTTATTTCTGTTCTCGCCCCCAGATGGCACCATCATTCATTGAGTGCCATATTGATTTTTGAGTAGTAGTATATAAGATTTTTTTATTGCTGAAATAACAGATAATGTATTATATTTTTATATTAATTTATTCATACCTATAAATACAGTTGACGCTCCATTTTACAGACCTGGGTATAACGTATTTTAAAAAACTCCTAGTTCGTAAGCTCCGTCAGAGGTTCAATTAATTGAGAGTCAAGTGGTATATAATTTTTCGGTGTAATAATATAATAACATTTGAAATTATCAAACTGCAACCTTCTACAGATCTTTGTACTAATTACAAAGATTTTCCTACAGACGGCGCAACTGTGCAAGTTGGATTTCTTTCTCTGGTATTTATCGCAATATGTATTGTTTGTGTCACTTATCTCACACATCTTACACAAACCACAGTATCGTCAGTTACAATAGATTATCAGACTACTCTATTAGTTCGTTATATCGAGGGTCAACCTGCTAAAATTAGAATTTCGGGCATTATGAGGTTTACGCACCGTAGGCCTTTGAAGAAACATATGACAGTCTCAGTTCACAGATTGTTAGTATTTAGATGCATGAAATGTGGATTAGTTCAAGACACATGACTTATATAAAAAATTAATTTCCATAAGATATTATACACATATGAGTGTTTAGTTTCATGAAATGCGTGAGAACACGAGCATGCTGAGTATATCAAGTAGCATGCGTATCATACTAAATAACATATTTGCGGTGTATTTAACTCTCTCCTCCCTGTTGGCAATAAGCTGAGTTATATATACTTTATAATTATTTTGATGTTGGATTAGTGAATAAATATAAAATAATCATAACAAATTTGTATTATAAATTCAATTATTATTGAGTTTACTATATGTATTATGTGTGCTTAACAGTCTTTTATAGCAGTAAATACTACCGAAAGACTTCAACAATTGAGAGAGAAAATGAAAGAAAATAATTATTCTGCTTATATTATACCTACAGATGATGAACACCAGGTATAATTTAATTATTACAGTATATATATATTACGTACCCACAAATTAATTTAACGAATATGTAAATTATTGTATATTTTTAGAGTGAATACGTAGCTGAGTATGACAAGAGAAGAGCTTATATATCAGGATTTAGCGGATCAGCAGGTAGAATATCGCACTGTATAGAGTAAAAACCTGTCCGAAACGGAACTTGAATAAAACGGAAACCTATTCCTACAATTCTTATTTACGCAGGTTTTCCTGCATTAATTTTAGGAGGCTGTATTTAACTATTGAATTTTTAAGCAGAATTATTATAGGGTTGCAATTTTCAAATTGCAGACCTATACATTCTCACTGTCTGTGTTTATGTCTGTCCTTCGTTAATCTCGAGATCGGAATTATGATCATGTTACAATATATATATATATATATAATTACTCGGTATCTATTATTTAACAATGAAATTCTTTAAAGGGACAGCAGTTGTACTGTTAAACAAAGCCGCACTGTGGACAGACTCACGTTACTTTCTCCAAGCAGAAGACGAATTGGATTGTAATTGGATATTAATGAAACAATACGAAGAAAATTACCCAGAAATTTTCGAATGGTTAACTGAAAATTTATCGAACGGATCGGTCGTTGGTGCCGATCCTAGATTCATTAAACAAAATACTGTAAATTTATTTGTTATAATTAGAATTAATCTTGTATTCTATTAATTGATTTAATTAGTTAATAATTTTAATAGTGGATTAATTTGGATAAGAAGCTGTCTAATTCGGGCATAATTCTGAAAGGAGAGTATAAAAATCTGATTGACGAAATTTGGATTGAAAGTAATGGCCGACCGCATCAACCAAGTGGGAAAATATTTATTCATCAATTAATATATGCAGGTAACATTCTAGTAAATTAATAAATAGAAAATTAAACAAAAAAATAGAAACTTCACTCTATTTTCGATATTCAAGAGCGATGAAATTTCTTGAGATTCCAAGTTACACAACGAGTAAGCACATCAGATGCTAGTCTATATATGTTGGGTGGAAAGTAAGTAGGCATCGAAAAATTTGCTATAATTTTTGTAATAATAAAGCATTCGTAATAAAATTTATGCGTGCATGTATATCAATCAATGGAATTTTATAATTCCTGTATCGGTATTGTGAAGAGTGACACCATCAGTGGCAAAAAAAGACGACCGACCGCTTATTCGTTTGGGAGTGAGTTCAGATTGCTGCATGCTGTGAAGTGTGAAATCAGTGGTTGCTATCAGAAATAGTAGATAATGTTGAAGAGACGTCGTGCCACAATCTACCGGAAACAATCAATAATTGTCATTTGAAGCTAAAATGACCACATGTTCTGTTGTGACATATAGAGGTAGCCGTCATAGTACATGTTAAGTAATTTTAGTTACATTTTTATTAAGAACATTAAAATTGTAGCGATGTATCAATGCCTAGTTACTTTCCATCCCCGTAGAATGACATTTGAATGTGTGACGTGAACCTCCGTTATCACTGGATACCAAAATTTAGATTTATGTTTAGGCTAAATTCCCAAATCCTACCACAGGGAAGTCAAAAGAACCATTTACTCCATCAAATTTCATTATTGAACAATATAATACAATTAATTAGGTTCAAAAGTGGTTTAAGTCTCTAAGATGGCCTATTAAGAAGTAAATCATCGCAATAATAATTTAAACACCTGTAAAATATTAAGTACATTCTGTTTATTCACAATTGCAGAATCAACGAATGTGTATTTTATTTTATTTTATTTTATTATAAACAGGAAAGACGTGGGAAGAAAAAATAAATGAACTCAGAAAAGAAATAAGAGCTAACGAGGCAGACTGCATCATTGTTACAGCCTTAGACGAAATAGCCTGTAAGTAATCAACAGTTTAAAATCGATCCCTCTGTATCCTCTCTTATATGAAGTGTAATTAATTACACAATCCCCATTAATGCCACAACGTAAAAGTAACTTCACTGCATTACAATTACGCCATTTTATAAGCGTGTGATGAAACATTTAACACTAACAAAATGAAATTTTTCGTAATTATAATTAATCGAATAATTAATAATTAATTTTCAATTATACTTGAATTAAATTTCAGGGTTATTTAATCTAAGAGGTTCGGACGTTCCTTACAATCCCGTTTTTAAATCGTTTGCATTCGTAAGTCAAACGCAAATAAGGTAATTTTGACTTTAAATTATCGAAATAATTAAAAATATTCGCGTAAATAATTAATATTCTTTAATGAATTTTAATTAATTCTTGTAGTATTTACGTGGATGTGGATAAAGTAACTAATGAAGTCGAGCAACATTTATCAACCCCTTCTAATGAAACTTATTTAGTGAATGTAAATTAATGTTCTTTTTTTAAGTTTATAAAAGAAAGAAACCTTAATTTTAATTAATTTTTTCTTAATTTCAGTTTAAAAATTACACGAGCATTTATACGGACATCGAAAATTTACTTGATGACTTAGGAAAAGTATTAATTACATTCCATTCAAGTTACGCTATATACAATCTAATTCCAAAAGTATTCTTTCTTATTTAAAAGAAAATCGAATCCAATTAAATCTAATTTAATGAAGATGTTTAATTATGATAATGATGAAGTGCTTCTTCCTAACAGGAGAAAAGGATCATCAAAACATCACCCATAATGTTAATGAAAGCTGTGAAAAATCCGATCGAAATCGACGGAATGAAAAATGCTCACGTAAATAAATGTATTATAAATTACAAATTGTATTAATTTACAATTTACGTACAAATATTTAATTAATAGATGAAAGATTCCATTGCAATAATCGATTTCATTGCCCTCCTGGAGGAAGAAGTAAAACATGGAAAACACTGGGACGAAATCAAGGCCATGGAAATAATTAGCCAATACAGAAGGTAGACCATGATTAAATTACTAATTCTGTACTTTATAATTTGTAAAAAAAATTTGATTTTTAATTAGAAAACAAGAACTGAATATGGGGGACAGTTTTGAAAGCATTTCTGCTTCGGGTTCCAATGGTGCCATAATTCATTACACCTCTCGGCCTGCAACTAATAAAACAATCGACACGGATAACATGTTTCTATTGGATACGGGGGGCCAATATTTGTAAGTTTATAGTCTCAAAATTACACTAAAATTGAATTTCATTTGTAAAATACCCATACGGATCTTCATTTCAGAGATGGAACAACTGATACCACTCGAACATTTCACTTTGGAAATGCTACAGATTTCGAAAGGGTATTTTAATGCAGTGTAACGAATTTAAATAATAGAAACAACAACGTAACATGTTACACACGTAAAAGAAACACTAAATTAGAAAATACAAGTGTAAGTCTTTCATTCTTCTTCACACACCTTCGCGATCCAACAATGGTCTAAGAGAATTTCGGAGGAGGCGATGTTTTTATTGAGGCTCGATGTGCAAAATAATATTAAAACCTCGCCTTCTCCTGCTGATCTCCCCATTTTTATGGGGGAAATCAGCAGGATGGAGGGAAATTTAGGGAGAAATGTAAAGCCTGTCCATTGGTTAGTGGAGTTTCAGCGACGAGTTGGAGATTCCAAAAGTCACATGACTCGTGTCTGTTCTCGCGTCATGTGTCATGTGTCGCGAGTCATGGCACACATGAAATTTGTTTCTTTGTGTTGTCAAAAGAATATTTTTTAATATGCATTGTACTGTACCTGCAGCAAAGCTATTTAAGAGAATTTTTACAGTTTTTAGTGGAAACATTGTTAGTCTTAGGGTAATTTCGTCTTTCAGGAGTTTTTACGACAGGAAATTTGTAATCCTGTGTTTCTTCTACGTGTGTCAAATGTTTTTCTGGTATTCTATTTATATTTGCAACAATATAACATTTAAATCCACATAATTATAATTTCAGGAAGCATACACAAGAGTCCTTATGGGTGCAATTGATTTGGCATCAGTAATTTTTCCGAAAGGAACAAGGGGTAAATTTTTGTTAAACATTCAAACAATCTGAAAATTTGATAAAGTTTTCGTATGACGAAGCAATTTTCTTTTGTAATTTTATAATTTTAGATATCGACGTCGATATATTTGCAAGAAGACACTTGTATCAAATAGGTTTGGATTACAAACATGGAACAGGACACGGGATTGGTTTATTCCTTAACGTACACGAAGGTTGAAGCACACTTTTCATCTTAAATGAAACACTATGTTATTTCATAATGTGTATGTAAGATTTACAATTACAGGTCCTACGCTTATACGAGAACCAAAGTTACGAGCGAGAGCTTCCGAAATGAAACCCGGAATGTTTATATCGGATGGTTAGTAAAGATACACATAGCCTCATCTAACCAACTCTAAGTCATAACCTCTGCTCCGCCAAATGGCACTACAGAGTAACTAGGAGACGATGTCTTAATCATCGGCCGGTCCATCGTCCGGTGGGCACCGGGCGCTTAGACGCAAAGCCAGCTCGAGAGAAGTGCTTGGGCTCTTGCTCTGGCTCTTGCTCGGGTCAGAGTAGTCCTAGGACTATCGACTTTCGTCGCTTTCCTTGCCTTCATTGCTTTCATCGCCTTCATCGCTACTCGAGCATGGCCCTCATACGGACATACGTTTTGGTGCATAGTAACAGCACATGAGAACTCTGCGATAAAGAGGTACTCAGGGGAACAAGTAGTAAGGCTTCCCTTCCCTACAAGGGGAGGCCCTGTCCAGTAGAACTGGACTAAAGGTCATGTTGACCTAGTATAATATCCATTATACTCTTTAAAATTTCGAAGTCTCCTTTACTTGCTGCGAGTGATCTAAATACTTGGTCATCGGGCTGGGTCCATTCGATATGACTGGCCCCCCTTCGGACGCTTTCCGTCAGGGGGCACTCAAGTATGTAGTGCCTCACGTCGCCGCGCGGGCACCGACAAGAGCAGCAACCGTTACTTCGACCAAATCTGGCCATGTAACGGGGAAACTTCCCGTGTCCCGTAAGGATTTGGGTCAGTCTCCAATTACAACTGATCGGAGTTAGGCCAACTTCAGGCACGAAGGCGTAGGTTGACCTACCTACTGTACTGAGGTTCCAGCGCTCTTGCCAGTATGTCATTGATCGATGCAGTAGAGTACCTTTTAAGTAACTAGCCGGAGGTTCTACCTTCTCCGTTACAAATGGGCCCTTGGCCGCCTCCTTGGCCAAGTGATCGGCACATTCGTTGCCCCGGATACCGATGTGTCCACGTACCCATCTCAGGTCAACTTGTCGCATGTGCCTCGCCCTCAGTGCCCTACCTCTGATCTCGTGTACTAATAGGTCTCTGTGGTACCCGTCACGTAACGCCTGAAGTGACGACTGGCTAGCAGAGTACACCGTGACTGCCTCGGGACCCGGATGGTGTAGGATCCACTGGGACGCTCCTGAAAGAGCCACCAGTTCGGCTTGAAACACGGTCGCTTCCTCGTTCAGTCTGACTGACGAACTGTACACTAAAACTCCGTCGTGGTAAACGCAATAAGCTGCGCCCACTTGGCTGCCGTCTTTGGAGCCATCGGTATATATTTCAATACCGCATAGAGTCGGTTCACCGACCTCCCAGTCGATGCCCTCTTTAAAATTTCAGTTGCAGTGCTTTGCCTGCAACTGAAATTTGCCTCTTTAAAATTTCAGTTGCAGTGCTTTGCCTGTAAACCCTCCACCGCGATCCTAAAGAACGCCGCCTCCTGGCTGACTACCAGGGGCAGCGGAAGAAGCCCTGCCAGGGCTAGGGCCGCGTCAGTGGATACCGTTCTGTAGGCACGTGTGACCCGTAGGGCAGCGGGCCTTTGAATTGTAAGTAGAGTCCTACTTTGCTTCACGTTGGCAGACTCCTTCCACCAAATACCGCAGGCATAGCAGACAACGCGCTCCAGAGCCATCTTGTAGATAGTCCGGATTGCCTCACCGCCTATGCCGTACTCTTGCCTGGCCAGTCGCGATAGTCCCGCTATCGCTCGGTTCATCTTGTTTCGGACGAGCCTGAGGTGTGGCGTCCAACAAAGAGATTGGTCGATAATGACACCTAGGTACTTGAGCTCACTTACCCTTCTGTGGGGTTGCCCCTTATTCGGTAGATTGGCTGACGTGCCAAGATACCGGTACGGGCCACCGTCAGGGCCTCCGATTTTTCGGGGCTGAAGGTCAGTTTGTGGGACTGTCCCCAGCAAGTGAGTCGTTCTATGGCTTCGTTGCCTTGACGCTCCATCTCGCGCCGATTGGTGCCGGCAACTAGATACACATAGGCCCAAAAGTCCGTTAACTATTGTAAATACATTAGAAACTTTGCAAAACGAGATCTTGTTTAATTTGGCACGCTTTCACAGATTGCCAAGTCGCTCGCAAAGGCACGTTCAGGGTGATTCAAAAGTCTTCGCACAGAGGCAGAGTTCATCTTATTATACAGTGAGTGCCTTTTCATGGCACTCACTGCATGATAATGAATGGGATAATAATAATGAAGGGCCATTCGTGGCGTCACGAGTGGTCCCTTCGAGTGATCTGTGTTTTGTGTGCAGACTTTTAATGCATCCCTGCACATTTATCTTCATATTTTTCATGGAACTATTTATTTACCTCCCTTAGAACCTGGTTATTATGAAAAAGATAAGTTTGGTATTCGACTAGAAACTGTTATAATGGTAACAGAAGCAAATCTTCCAGTAAGTACTGTACATTAGTGAGCATTATTAAATTTATATTTAATATTTTAAAATTACTTTAATAATTTTTCAGTATAAATTCAATAATATCACATTCTATAAATTTGAACCGGTTGCACTGGTTCCTTTCGAGCCTAATTTGATCAAGTATCAGTTACTTGACAGATCTCAGGTAATGATTTTTTGAAATTATTTTTAATTTTTTAAAAATTAAAACAATTAAATTAATTTTCAGATAAATTGGTTAAATTCTTACAATTTGAAAATTCGTGAAATAATTGGCAAAGAACTGCTCAAACAGAACAAAACAAAAGCATACAATTGGATGATGTCCAGAACTGATCACATTCCACCTGTACTTTGTGATATGTAAAGGATAATGATTTCATGAAATGACTGAAGTATTCTGGGGAAACCGGGTTCGAGTCCCTGACAGAAACCTCAAATTTTTCGTGGGTAGTTTTTCCCGGATATGTTGTGTCTCGAACGTCCCCACTGTCAGCCCAGCCAAACTCAGTGTGTCGTGTTACAGCTGAATTCGGGTCCCATGTACATGTACAATAACATTTTTCTTCGGGAAATATCATATTTTTTTATAAAATATTAGTTTGGAGCCCCCTATTAGGGCCCCAGGCAATGGCCTCTTTTGCCCGTGGGATTACGCGCCACTGGCCAAACCTACAATGGACGGGCGAGCAACACTCCAGAAATTTTTCGTGGCAATCTTCCCGGATACATGTGGGCCTGGCCGAACCCAAGACGGTTATAGCAAAAAGGATCCTCTTAGTGCCCAAAAAGAGCCGAAATGAAAAAGAAATTGATTTGATTAAAGGCTCTGTTAGCGCTCTCAGTGCGGAAGGAGTCAAAAAATCAACAAAAAGAAGATTCAAAAGTAGGGTTTCTCAGCCGATGTATCGAGAACATAATGTGCTACAAAATTTCTAAAAGTATTAATACTATAAAAATGGTAATTGTTTGTCTCTTTTTAAAATATAACTTGTAATATTCTATATATAAAAATGCACAATTAATATTGAATGTGGCATTGGCGATTTGCATGCCATTATATGCATAAGGGTGTCTTTAGTGGAACACTAGCCACTTGGTGTATAGGTGGGTAGTTTTGATAGGTCACTGCCATAACTCAGAAGCACATAAAAGTAAGCCTCAGTATTTCAGATTGATGTATTTCTAAAAAGTTTTGTATTAATAATAATACAATAAATTATATTATTTTTGTTAACTGGAATTACCTTTACATTTACCTGTTAATTTAAAGAATATTTATTAAATTATTTCAAAATATTTAATTTTAAATGATATTAAATAGAATTTTGGTCTTCTGCAATATTAGATCAAGAACAAACCAAATTGAAATTAATTTATAAAAATAAACTTAAGCAGGCGTTAAATTTTTAAGTAATAAGCTTTAATAAACATAGCATTTATATATTTAAAATTAAATAAAAGTGTTTTAAACTTTTAAAGTATATAACTTAATAAAACACTTCAAACTTCTTACTAAACTTTTTTCACGTGAAAAAGGACCATTAAAAGCATTTTTGCGTGGCCTTCTTTAGCCACTTATAACTAAAAAAAATAATAATAGTAATAAATATTTTCCCGAACCGAATAACAAATAATAAAATATTAAAAACTATTTTATGATTTACTACGTCAAATGGAAAGATTTATATTTGCAATTTAACATATGACATAATGCAAAAAATGATAAATAGGGGAGATCGGGGCAACTTCGGCATGCGGGGCAAGTTTGTCAAGCGCTTTTTTTAAAAAACAAATTAAAAGGAGACTTTGGTTATAGTTTAGGCAGTTGAGTTTTATTGGTGGCTTGTTGAGTGTAGTGTTTTTATTGTTCTCCAACAAGCGTAGTTGAATTATCAAGCAAATTTTCATTTTCGTTCAATTCCATATAATATTTTTTTTCCATTTATATTGAATTGGCAGGTTTTGTTATAATTCCATGATAACGAAAGTTACTTTTCCTGTTAGAAGGATGTAACTTCAACTTATTCACGTGGCCAGATCGTGGCTTGGCATTCTGTTCTCAGGGTTGTACTTAATGTTTCGAAATCATGACTAGCGGGGTAAGATCGGCAACATAAAGCCACATTAGAAGCAAAGGATAAAAATCAAACAGATGATAAATGAAAACATGTTTGCATTTGTTATTCATGTATATATGTCTTTGAACTTGCATTTCGTTGTAATAATATTAAATGGGTGTTGGATTTGTATTTCTTTGTTTTAATAGTGAATTCCAACTTATACATTGTTAATAACATAATTTTATATACGTGCCTATCTTGCCCCATTACTGTTGCCCCTATACCAGGGGCAACTTTAATAAAAATAATTAAAATAATTACAACTTTACAAAAAGAGAGAAGTTGCCGATCTTGCCCCTATACCCGGGGCAACTTCGTCAATTTCTCTCTTCTTGTAAAGTTGTAATTATTTTAATTATTTTTATTTCCAAACTGATTTTAACCAGTTCTATAGTAAGGTAACATTCCAATAGACAATATGCAAAGCTTTTTTTTCAGTTTACAGCAGTATTTATTACACAAAATTTAAGTAAAGCTTAACATGCCGATCTTGCCCCGATCTCCCCTAAATAAAACTTTTATAGAAATAATAATACGAGTATGAATGAAAGTAACGCATTCGTGCTATTTTTATTCACGTTATATCTATAAAAATTTTATTCAAGATTATCATCTCTCACGTTATTAACTAACGCATTATCTCCATAAAATTTTGTTTGTGTATCACGCAATAATAATGAAATTATTTGCAAAAACAGTGTAATCATTTAAAATGCGAAAAAATGTGAAAACGTGAGTAAATAAAATGATAACTAATCCATTTCCTCATATTTCACTCGCATTTTTTTCAGTCCATTTACTCACATTTCACTCACGTTTTATCAATTCATTTACTCACATTTCACTCACGTTTTACCAGTCTATTTACTCACGTTTCACACGTTTTATCAATCCATTTAATGACATTCTATTCAATTATTCACATTTATTTAATCGTACTATTAGTTCATTAAAATGAATTAGGAAGATCACCATGTCTTTCAAACTATATGGTGTATAGGTGTGTACGTGTAGAAATAAATTTAATATATTTAAGTTAGATGTTTCTTTTAAAAACTATCAACTACTCCCAAATCAATAGAAAGAGCAAACTTAATTTTTAAAAAATAAAGAATCATCAATTATAAAAAATTCTTAATGCATTTCATTCCCAAAAAAACAATATTGATAATAAAATAGAGCTTCATAAACAAATAAATACAACTATAAAAGTTTATATTAATATATTTTATTAATGTAAACAATAAAAAGTCATTTAGCTTTAGGAACACGGTAATGAATAAATTAACTCGATTATTATTTGTATTATTATTTCTGTAAATAAATAAATAATTTGTTAAATTTATGTCTCGATAAAGCAATTTCGGAAACAGGAAAGTCAATTTTGAAGTTTATTGCTTCAATTTTTAAAGATATTCACATATTTGAGTAATTCGTGACTTTACTTTTAAGTTTCTACGAACATAAAGACGAATAAATAAGCAATTAAGTTGAATTAATAAAGAAGAAATGTCTTCCAAGAGATGACATTAATGTATTGTATCATAACACAGAACAGTTCTAATACATTAACGTTAAAACTGCAATAAAAACGTTCGTAAAACGAAATTTGTAGTTTATTTTAAGTAGATTTAAATTTAAAAAAATATTGTGACATTGTCACAATGAGAATCTGCAGTTTTTAATTTAAAAAGTAGGATGAATTTCGGCCCAGACGGATGAACTGACGGACAGACAGGCGACAGTGGGAATGTATAGATTTGCAACTTAAAATTTGAAGATTTATTTATTTATTTTAATCAGATAAAGTAATGACTTCAAACACAAGAGCTAATTCGTTCTCTAAATAATAAACCCTTAATAAAGAAAAATAATAAAACACACCTTTTAATATACTAAAAACATTAAAAAATTAACTTAATACAGTCGAACCTCCAATAACGCTATTACACTAAACAGCAGAAACGTGGTGGTTTTAAAGAAAAATGCATAACCTCTAAACAAAGGCCACCTTCGAACAATGGCTATTTTTTGTTTCCATCAGTAACCGTTGTTAACAGGTTTAACTATACAAGAATAATATAATACTTTATCATGCTCGAAGTTGGGTTCAATTGTTATCCCCCTGCTGTTGAGAGATTAATGGAAATTTATCCAGTGTTGTTTGTCAGCCATTTTTAACAATGGCTAGCTTGTCCAGTCACGTGTCGAGGCCCATAACGCGAAAAGACAGCCAAAATAAAAACCCCAATTTACTTGAATATAATGATGGCTACAACTAAAACTACGATCACAATAAGTGAATTAGGTTAATGCGTCAGTGTATCGCTCTGGGGATTCAATATCGATTCGGGTCTTCACCATCCGTTCGTTCCATTGTGAGCCTGGCCGAACTAACGATAATCCAGACCAACAAAAGTTCATTCTGAACGCAGAAAGCAAATAAGAAAATGGTGAAGTTACAACCATGCAAGAATGCCATGCGACGCTTCTCTGTCGTGTGGCAAATGGGGCAAAGAGGCGAGGAAGATGACGTTTTAATGATGCGATGTCGATGCAACTTCTTTAAAGATGACGAATAATGATTAAGAAACAAAATTTGGCATGACAGATTGTATGCAAGGGGCATTCAAACTATTAAATTTCGGCGGTTACAAGTCGAGGGAGTTAAGAATTAGAGAGGGGTCGTGTATCATATCTCGAATGCAGTCGGATTTATTTATTTTTAATACACATAATGATTACCACCCCAAAGAACAATACAAAAGAATCCCCACAAAAATACATAAGCCCATCAAAAAAAGAAAAATACTCGTGAAAAGGCCACTCAACATTGAAAACTGAAAGACTCACTAGTAAAGAAAACTCCTGAACACTGGTAGTGGGTTTGAGCTTCACCAACGGGCTAATCACGTGGAGTTTTCCAGATTTTCTTCACGTGTCTAACACCTAAATAGAGACTACAGGAAGTCTTCTTAGAAGGTACCCACTTAGCAGATCGCCCCCGTGTTGCGTTGCTTTTTATATTAAAAGGCTCATTGAACGTGGGTTCTACCAGAAATTAAGAGGGAGGGTTGACATCTTCGACATCTCACCCATTTGAAGATCCAAAGCGGTAAGATCCAAGGTCACATCTTCAATCAGATTAAGTAATTCTTACACAATACAGAATGTATAGAGAAAATTTCATCCTCAGGTGAAGCTCAGAAACTGTCAGCAGCAGTGCGAAAATGCAGAATTCCCAGAGCGCAAGCCAAAGTTAAGCCAACTTCGGATCCGGAAATTTTTAGAGCAGTACAGAAAGAAAATAATATGCCTTATAAAATACAGTGGTATTGTACCTCAGGATACGAAATTAATCCGTTCCGAAACTGAGATCGTATCATGAAAATGTCGTAAGGTGAATCATTTTTCCCCATACGATTACATGTAAAACCAAATAATTCGTCCCAACACGAAAAACACACTCAAATTAAAGCTTAGTAGTACATTAAAAAAAATAAAAAAAAACTATAGCAAGGAAACACTGAAAAATGCGTTTTGTAGTTGTAAATGTATAAATAATCGTAATAGAATAAAGCCGGATGCACACATGCGGCGCGGCAAGGAAAAGCGGCAGAATGACGTCACTTTTTCTCGCCGCAGAAGTCGATTTTGTGCCGCTTTTCTCGTGCCGCAAAAGTTGGTTGAATTCTATCTTTTGCGGCAACGCCGCCAAGACGCGTTTCTATCAGCCAATAACAGTTTGTCTCGTAGTCACGTGAGAAAATACAATCACGTGGTGTTTTAATGGCGGAAAGTTCGAGGCGGTTAACCGAGATANCGGTAAAATATTAAAGATTATTAACGTACGTAAACTTGTTTTAAATAAATGGAATTTCATTGCACAACAAACTGAAATATGAAATGAAACTACTGTATAGTCAGTCGCTTGCATTTCAACAGTGATGAAGGGAAATCAAATGAACAGAAGAAATTCTAATTTTATTTTACTAACTTTCTACTGTAAGTATTAATGTATTGTTTAAAACATAGCATTAATTTTGATATCATTCTTGTAATTATTTATATAATTTTCAAAATATTCTCCCGGGATGCACCACTCTTGGAAGATCGCCCGTGTGT